CGGTAATGACACACCATGCAGATGAAGGAATCAACAATACCATTGCAACTGCATCCGTGCAAGGGCGAGTACTAACAAAAGTCCTTCGGTCAAGAACAGATCATCTCCTGTGTATGGAACATCCTCATCTGCTGCAAGGGTGCAGGGGATTTGTTAATACAGCAGGCAATACTGAATACAGGAAGAATAAGGAATTTGGGTGGATAGAGGGTTTCCAGAGAGCATTTGAGGCAGTTGCAGAGCATTAGCACCACTACTAAGGCACTTCACTGGCCTGCTTAAAACCCCCGCAACTTGCCTGTGAAGTGCAGCTATCCCCAAACCAACATGGACCTGATGGGGTTTTTGTCAAAGCAGCGCATGAAGGGGCTCACAGGAGAGAGCTGCAAGATACAGGGGTAGATAGTGGCACAGTTACCGAGTGACTTGTTTCATAGACTAGACAAGTACTTCACCTCTGCACTGGGGAAGACCAGTCCCCACTTAGCAACGCTAGGCTCCGGCCTTGGCTCACCACACGTTCGCAAGAAGGGCTGTGTGGTCAGTGTAGTTCTCCGTGCATCTGTGCTGCTGCCTGGCAGGCAGTGTTTGTTCCCTTGAAGACTTTGGTGTTGCAGGTAGAGTTGCCACAGCCTAGGTGAGGTGACAAAGGCTCAGCCAGGTTTATTACCTACAAAGCCCCTAGTTACGACCGTGCATGTCCAGGGTTACAAGCCCTGGGTGCTTGTGGCAAGGCACAGGCACAACTCCCACATTACAGCTCCACGGGTTTCCAGTCCCCCTCTCATACACTGATCAAAACAGCTGCTTACATCAAACATTCGCATAGCAAACATCGCTCTACCAGATCACCCTAATCCTTCTATCTCCCCCCGTTATCTTGTGTGTCGTGGACTATCTGGCACCAACTTTAACAGTCACCCTTGGCAATCAGCCTCATCATCAATCAGCTTTGCCAGGGGTCTGTAAAGCCTAATCTTCCAACCTAAGCCCCGATTGATGTGTGCAAGGTCAGTGTTTGGTGAGGCCTGCTTTGGTCAATGCTTGAACAGAGCCTTTATGTGAGCTGTATGTGCACTGCTTGCATTAATCAATACTCCAGCAAGACCTACCCCGGGATGCACAGACCAAGTGGGGACACAGCTGTGTAAGCGAAGCAGGGCTATCAATAGTCAGAATCAAAAGGGAAATCTTGGAAGGTCACCAGCCTGGATGAAGCAAGAAAACAAATCTTAGCAAATGCTTCTGCCAGATTTTGGTACAAAAAGACCCTTGGATCCACAGTCCAAAAATATTATCATTGGAAGATTTTAGGCAGCATTATCGGGTTATTAGCATGTAACCAAGGAAGAGATGACAGATGGTCTTCAAGAGATGATAATATCATGGAGGCAGAATCTTTACAGGAGGAAGAAAGGTTTGGTCAGGAAAAAGATCTGAGACTGTGGTGAGAACAATTCTCACAATAGTGGAATCCCAGGATTCAAGGCTGGTTGGAAGTCTGCGATGGCTGGTTTGATGTCAAGGTCCAGGAATGATGCTACTGAAAAATGCATCCAGAAGGATGTACAGCAATAGTAAGAGCTGTATTTTGAGACAGAAAACGGAAGCTTCTTTACTTACAACTACAGAGTTCTGGGATCAGAGTAGCACGTCTCAGACGTGGAATCATAAATTCCTCTAGAAAGAGAAATTGTAAACCCCAAGGGTCCTCAAGTCCTTAAGGAATTACAGTGCATCAACCTCAGCGATGAACACCCTCAGAGGTGGGATCCTCCACTGTTTTCTACACTTCTTTAAGAATCCAGAGCCTTGGAGCCAAGAGGAATTTCTCGTGAATACACTCATGGCCAAAGAACAAGGTTTTGGCCATCAAATGATTTCTGGAAAGAAGGGTTGGAAATGCGTTTTAGATGGCAGATTTTTTCTGTAAATGGTGAAAGGTGCTTGTAAAAGCAGAAGTCATATTGTACAACAGGATTTGGTAGTGGGTAACTCTAAACTGCAGGGTAGAAAATACAACTTCCTCCTCAGCAGATCCAGCCTCCTTGCTCTTCAACATGCTGCAACAAGAGAGGTGGGACTGAGAACCCACTGCCCAAAGAGAGGACTCTCTGATGTTTGTCCCCCTTCCTTCCAAGCAGTCAGGGCAAAGAAATCGGAGGTCTGCAAGACAACCCTTCCTGGGTCCAGAATAGCCTCATCTGTATAGGGAGGGTCCCTCTGCTTGGGACACACCACTGCAGGGTATCAAGTAGTCTACCTGAGGACTTGTCCAAGGAGGAGAAGGAAAAAAAAAGCCACAGCCGTCTGACAGTATTTCCATGTTTCTATTCTGGGTGGAAAAAAAACCCATCAGCTTCCTCACTTAAGAGAGACACCCTCATTTTGGAGGGCTAATTATTTGGGGAAAGGTGTGCATAAATATGGTATTTGGTAAGAAGATACACTGGGGAAGAGCTGTCTTTTGATTAAATCAAGCCAGAACCAAAGCTTTGGTGCGACTTCTCATGGAAGAGTATTTCCTGACATGTTAATTACTGAAACAGCAAATAGGTCTACAAGGACGGGCAGTGCAACGTAGCGCTTATTAGGATCTGCTCTTAACAAGTGCCAATTCCACTCCAACCATAAGAGATGCAAGACTTAGGGCTGCAAACGGATCAGCAGCTTGTCAGTAAATCACACTTACTCCCACAACGTATGCATACCTGAGGCTGTAAACACTTCATACTACTAGGGAGAGCTGCACTGTATCAATTCACGATTCATCACTGACCTCTGCCATCCAGGGACCTAGCCCATGTTTCCAAACAGAAGTGGCAATGTTAGTTTGTGGCAATGCGGTCATAATCTGGAACCATCCTACATGCATTTCTCACCAATACAGACCCTAAATATATGCCCTTAATTTGATCCAATCATTTTATAGGCTTCCCTGCTAATCCAATATTCCCAGCACTCCTATAGAGGCAACAGCGCACTTAAATCTAATAGTAAGACTGTATTCCTCAGTCTCCCTACATGTTATACCGTGGTGCTGTATCTTATTAGGTCCCCATAGGGCTGCCAGTGTGGGAAACACTGCTCTGAGCAGCAGCAAGATTCTTGGCTGCAACACCTAAGAGCTGAAATAAGGTTCCTGTTCCATTAAAACATGCAGTTTTTCTCAGAGCATCTGAAAAACTCTTCATTTGTCATCTAAACTATAAGATCAACCAATATCTGCTATTGTGAAACAAGCATTTTGCATTATGTTCTAGTGAATTATGTAGCAGTAACAGTTTTTATCATCCCTTTGGGAGGTCTCATAAGACTAAATCATCAGTAAAAAAAAAAAAAAACCTGAAATGCAGAGACACAGTGTTTTGGGTCCTTCTCTTCCCGGCATACGTGATTCCAGACTGTGGGTGTGTAAAATAAAGGTGACCTCTTTTTCAATTTTTTGAATTTGCTGGGTGGTGGCACAAGTCAAAGCCTACAACATTTCCAAGTGAGAGCAAACCAATCAAAACCTCTCCAGTGCTCAATGTGCATTGCCCCATGGAGACTGGGGTTGATGCACTTGACAAAAGGAAGAAATAGGAGCCATTGTCCCTTTCTCCCAGCAGCATGGCTATTGCGGGAGGAATGGTCACACTGCGTAAGCTACCCCTACCGCCCTTCCTCCACCTTCCCCATTACAGATGGAAGTGCAGGCTAAGGTGGCGTTACTACTACTTTACGCAATAGAAAAATGGGTGGAATATCTGCTGGGAGGAAAAAAAGTCCTCCCCCTCTATAATACTCCAGAGGGGTTCTTTGAAGCAATGCAAATTCAACACTAAACACTGTCCTCACTCAGCTCTGGCATCTTGTCACTGCTTCACCAATTTCTCCCTCCCACCGAGTTTCTCATTTCAGAGTATTTGACTCCAGATGTGTAGTTTGCATATTCCAACTTATTTTGCAGTTTACTAGCTGTGGTTATAAATTGCTCTAATCCCCATGGGTTGGTTTAATTTCTATTGATGCTTTCAATTTCTCCCAGTTCAGTATCATCTGCGAATTTCCTTAGCTGCCTGTTTACAGCCTTTACAGGGTCCCTAACAATTGAAGTCAGTAATCTTAATGTTTTTTCCCCCCACACCCCCATTGTTACAAATAGATGATGATTACAGGGAAGGAACAGGAGAGATGTTACAACTTATTGGAGTTCTTCAAGAAGCGTTGTCGGTATGCATATCCTCAGTGCTGGGCATGCATGCACCGTAGCACTTGAGCTTAAACTTTAGCCTTAGCAGCACCTGTAGGGCAAACCATAGCTCTGGTTCTCATGACCCACACTGAATAGATAAAGGGAACACATCCCAAAGAAATCCAGCTGCTGCTAACTATCTTTCTCCTTAGAGTTATCATCCATCTGCACATCCTGACCACAGGTCATTCCTGAAGAGCAACCACATACCTGGAGGTGGGTTTTAGTTTCCTAGGCAAAGAGCCACTTTATCAAATGCAGCACCTGCCCTGGGGGGTTCTGAAACTGCGCAGCGCTTGGGGAAGTGCTTGGTGCCACGTGTCGGCTGCTCCTTCTTGTACCTTTGTGACGGGGAAGAGCTGCAGGCGTAGTGGAGTGTTTTGTTTGCTGCTCTTAAATTTACATGCTGGCTGGTGTTTGTTAGACAAAGCAGGCTGAAGAACACCTTGCTCTTGGAGCAGGTGGAAAGATTTCAAATGGACTTTAACTTGTGGGAGTCTGTTCTACTCAACACTGTGGCAAAAGGGGAACCGACTATCAGTTTCCCTGGGTCACTGTGGTCTTCAGAGAAACAAGAAAAAAATGAGACTCAAATAACAGTTTGGCAAGACACCTGGGACTGGGAATAGTTAACTCTCATTTTAAAAAGATCAGATTTCAAGTTGGAAGATGTATATCACCAATACCATAAACTACCGCAATCCCATGTGCTTTTTACTCACCTAAAGATGCTGAGAAAGCGACAGAAAGAAGTCACATGATAGGCCTGGAATCTAATTGCATTTTATTTTAGCAAACTGCATGTTTTTCACTTAACATCTCTACATTAGCAACTGTGTAACTCCAGCTTTTCTTTAAAAAAGGGTAAACAAGAAGTGACAAAACTCAGGATCTTCATCTTTTAAAAACACATTTCAAAGTTGGATTCAAGAAGACTTTTATATATTTTGGTTTTTAGGTAACAGATGAGGGATGGAATCACTAACTCAAATCGCAACAACCCAGCTAACTGAAAGTTGCCCCTTCTGGGATCCCTTTGAAGTCAGAGGATCAGAACCTTTTGCATTCACCGTTTGCTGAAGACCTGACTTATCAAGGGGAACTTGCTGGTCTGAAGGAGCCGGACAGACATTCTCCTTTGCATATCATTGCAATGGCCAAGCAGAGAAAAGCAGCTTGAGAAGTCAGTGCGAGCGCTGTACATGTTTTGCTTCTCCACAGAAGCATTAGGAACCTTGGTATCACCATGCAGGAAATCTAAGGAGGAAGCTACTGCAGTTTTAACTTTCCACTACAGTTACATTTCTCCAATCATCCTGTTCCTGCTGTCTAAAGATATAAAAATCTTCTTTGAACAAGGTTTAAAAAAAGCCAAAAAAATCAAACCAAACACCATAAAATGTACAGATTATATGGTCTAGAAAAGTCCTAAAAATTATTGCAGAAACTAAAGATGACTTGTTTTAGGGAAGGAGGCATGAGGCACAGCATCTATACCTAACTGAAATGCTTGGGTTGATTTGACTTAGTTTTCAGCTTTCCCCCATCACTCAAGAAAAAAAAAAAATTAAAGAAAGGTTTAAGTGTCAGAACTAAAATACAAATGCACATTGACATTATAAAACAATATTATGGATCTGACCATGGGATTCCCTGACACATTGGAAAAGTTTACTTTTTTGCCCGGAGAGATTTCCTTATGGTAGATTTGCCCTTGGCGGGAGATTTCACTTCCTTTCTCCCACTTGCTGCTGGTTTCTTGGAAGTATTGCCGCCAGAGGGTTTCTTGATGGCTGGGGCTGCTGGTCTGGCTTTCCTGGCAGGGATTTTGACCTTTGGTGGGGGCTTGGGTTTCCCCCGGCGGGCTGCAGGTACTTTCCTTGGCTTGGGCTTGGACTCTCTTCGTTTTACTGGAGGGGCTCTGCTCCGGGATTTTGGAGGGGGTCTCTTCTGCATCCTATCAGGAAGAAAGAGTAAGATTTTACTAAGGGCTACGAGATAATTCACACCCAGTGAGGTAGACTGCAGCATCCCCGATTTATTGTGGGTGTTCTAGCATGCAGCAATCGAGTAGTGAGTTGATCAGTAAGACCCCAACTCCATCTGGTAAATTCACGCTCTGCAGAGTACCCACAGCATTATAGCCAGCAGCATTTATACTTCCATCTCCTCTGGCAGGCATGTAAATCCTTCCAGCCTGTCAAGAGTGAGTCATGCAACTCAAGTGTCCAAGAGCTCTGAGCAGGGCTTTGTTCCTACCCAAGGCCATTCACATTAAATCCACCTTCAAAGCGAGAATGATTTTGGTTGGTGTGTTCCCTACTGTGTTAAAGCCAAGTTGTTTAATAAAACTCCTCAGCTTTTTCAAGGGACACCAGCAGTTTTGAGAGCACAGAAGATCACATGGGGAAGCTGAATGGAAAAGCTAATTACACTGAAAATGAAAATACAAAAATAATGTACAAAATTAGAATGAGTCCCTTTTCTTCTCTCTCAGTTCAAATGATGAAATTGTGGAAGTTACGATCAGCGCTCAGACTATTTGCACAGCACCCACCACACTGGAGTTTGGACCCTGACAGGCCCCAGGAGCTCCATACACGCAGCATGACCACCACACGTGCGCGCTCAATACCTGCTACATTCCTTGCTGTGCCAGCCTGAGGCTTCTACTGGGCAGCAATAGGTGATCGTAGATACATATTCCTTGCCCGAGACAGGTCTATAACATTTGAACTCTGGCCTCCAAAGATGAAGTGCTAGTGCAATCTGCTGCAACCGTCTTTAGTGCAATGAGACTACCAGTTCTCAAACCAAACGCTGCAGCCTGAAGCCAAAGTAAACCCAGCCAACTCCATGAGCTCAGCTCCTCCATTGTTCTCTTGCATCACAACGGTTTTTTTGGAGCCTGCTGCTGAAGTGCCAGGTTTCTCCCCAAGCTCACGAATACAGGATGGCCAGACTTTTTAGCCTGAAGAACTTTATTTATTTCCAACTTCATTATACCTCTTTTTTGGAGGTGGCTCTTCCTCCTCAGACTCTTCCTCCTCCGATTCCTCCTCTTCCTCCGATTCCTCTTCCTCCTCCTCAGATTCATCAGATGCCTCCTCTTGATGCTTTTCTGGGAACAGCACGCCTGGGCTACAAAGGCAATCTTGTTAAAATTAGAGCCGTACTCATATAAAACCATACAAAGTGAATGTCAGATGGCTGAAAGGCAGTTTATCAGCAACCCTGACTTACCAGGGATACTTATCCAGTTTGCTTTTGTAAAGCCTGTGCTGGTTTGAGCTTCACTGTTCTGCTGACTTGTATAAAAAAAACACCCCCCCAAAATAAAAAGCACAGACCCTGTGTGCTGCTATCTGAAGTAGAGAACACCAAGGGGCTGCCAGGATGGATCTAGCTGGAGGAAGTCCAACTACCTGAAGGTCATTAGGAATGCTATAGCAGCCTCCAAGCTCTCTCATGCTCTTACGATGGCTGCTTGCATCTTTCTTGTTACATAGAGGGGGATGACAAGTCCAAACTCTTAATGCTGTCAGGCACAAGCTGGAGCCACCAAGGGCTTGAAGAGGTACGAGATGATTTAGACGGGGAGACAAAGTTGTTGTGCTGCTCTGGCTCCTTGTTGTCTCTGTGCTCGCTGAGGCTTGACTCAACATAGCCTACCTTCCAATCTTCCTCCAGCTATCTGGGTCTCGTCCTCTCCCTGAACACATTTAGTAGAGACCATCTCCTCCTACATCTGCAATAAGGACAGTGAAGTAGCTGGATCTATGGTATTTTTCATTATGATCACTCCTGTGCTGCTAAGAGGCAAGTATGCAAGGTATCTCCTTATGCAGATTTACTTTAAATACTACATTGCTGGGCACTACAGAAGATGCCAGAATACCCGAGAACATTAAGCCCTATATTTCCCTTGTTAGTAAAGCTACCTTTACGTTTGACCCTAGATTTGCCAGTGTCAGGACCTAGAGTGGTACGCGTTACACAGGGTTGCGGGTAACAGACCAAAGTGTACAAGTTTGTGCCCCAATACAAATCTCCTGTTGTAAATGAAGAACTGCTTTCAGATAGCTCTTTACCTGGGGTAGTAAGGGAAGCAAAGCTGGAAGGTGCCGCTGAAGCCCTTTCCAGAGATCTGCTCCATCCAGCCATTCTTTTCGCATTTCTGCAGGGTTCTCTTTAGTAGGTGCACTGTGAAAAGTGAAGAGACAGGTCAATACTTTACCCTGTCACATGCCTCAACTGTACTGCTCTATGCAATGCACCCTGAAATCCCAGGCAGAGGTGGGGGCAGAGTAACATTTTCTTATCTACAGTTAGAGGGGTTGAAAAAGGGGGTTGACAGTCCACCTTCACTGCCTGCAACACTCAAGAGTGCATCTGCTTCTGTACAGGGCCTGGCTCGACAACTGCTTTAAGATGAGGTTTTACCAAGTCTTCAGAATTCCCCACATGTACTGTTTAGGCACATTCAAACGTTGGACCTAAACAGGTAAACAGGTGTTAGTGCAAGTCCTCCCAAAGAAGGAATGAAATAAAGCTCCAGTTGGAAATATGAAGACCAGACAGCTCCTTTATAAATGCTTTTGATATTCACACAGTTCTAGTTACACTGACCTTTCAGCCTGCTTCATTCAGATGGTATTTTTGCCTTAGCTGGCACATGGTATCTCACCCTCCCCTGTCCCTGTCCTGCCACGTCCCTAGGTGTGATCAATGCTGCCTTATTACAGTGAACTACCAGCACTTCAGAGCTCAGCTATCAGAGGTAAAGTATTCTTTTGCCCGATTCTTCTTCCCATGGTTTTTGTAGTGACAGAGCCCAATGAAAATGCACCACTAACGGGACCTCTCCTCGCCAGCAGCAGGCAAAAGTATGTAGCTGGATAAACAGCGTGTCTTGAAACGTTTTTCTGTTTCAGTTGAGATGGACAGAAATGTCAGAAAGACGTGAGCTTTTTCTATCTAGCACATTCAGAAAAGGCTCAGATGAGGAAGGGAAGAGAACGAAAACAGAATGTAGGAAACCTTGGTTAAACTGTCATTTGAGCATGTTCGGCACATTAAGTGGAAAGGTATTCACTGTGACAAGCTTCTTACTAAAAGTCTCGCTTCAGCAATATCAGAGAAGTGACATTTCACAGTAACAAAATCATTTGGGATCAAGCCATCCTTTCAACAGCCTACAGGCCATTCCCACTGAACACTTAATTTAACTGGCATTTGAAGAGCTTGCACGGTTAACTGAATGGATTGCCTGCATTAAACGCTTTACTTGTGCCAATGCTAGACTCGTTAAGAGTCCACACACTTATTTTTAAAAGCCACAGTTTTATAGCAGGCACAGCACAACAGCAGGCTATTTTTAATCTGGGTAAATGAAGATCAAGAGTGGGGAAGAAAAGGGATGCAGCTGGCATTGCAAGTGCAAGGGACAAAATAAGAGTGTATAGTTCTAGCCTGCTCTTTACATGTATACACCTGCCTGCTTCTCTCTCTCCAGATCCCTCTCTGGATTAGTTCAGAAGGGAAGCAAGATCCTAATAGTTATTTCCAGCCAACAGGATGCAAGAGAGGATGGCAAGCAAATGTTTATACGTGTCTCACAATAGTAAGGACTTTGCTAGCAATTATCAAGGTTCCCAGGCACTTGAGGTGGCTTGAATTATGTCTGCCTGTAACAACTAGAGCTGAAATTCAGTGACCCTGAAGCTACGTGATCTGGGAATTCTCTGCCCTTACCCATTATACAAAGTGGCTCACTGGTCAAAATTTGGCGTCAATCTCCAAATCACAAACACACACAAATTATAGCTGACCTAAGCCCTTTCTGCCCCCATTGTTGGCTGAGAAGGCAGAACTGCGTTCCCTTCTGAACAACACCCCTGCATCGAACAAACATGCTGACTCTGTTTTTCAAGAGGCAGACGAGTGCAGTCTCCTATAATCATTACAGCAGGACTGTCCAACTGGCAGTCTGCATCTCCTGCTGCCATGCGGCGTGGTAAGATATGGGGGTCAGCACACCAGGGACCACCGGCACAGTTTGCATGGTGGTGGTAGGATC